ATTAGAATAGAATTAGAATAGAATTAGAATAGAATTAGAATAGAATACCAGTAGGGTAGGGTAGGGTATAGAGGAGAGGAGAGGAGAATAGAAAATAGAACAATAGAATAGAACTCTATTGTCACTTTAGGTGTACACTAATCAGCACATACCTTAAAATGAACTTTCGCTGCATTCAACTCTCAAAATAACTGTTGTCTGTCTACCCACATACACACGCGAGAGAGTTCTTCTCACCTTTGAAAGGGTCAATTCCGAGTTGTAGCTTCTTGTCTATGGATTCCTCTATGTCCTTCTTCTTCACACACTGGATCCCGAGGTTGTTAAAGCTGTCAAGCAGAGGACAGTTCGGGGCTCAAACAACAGAAAAAAAGTCCGCCACAAAAGGAAGCAACCTTACAAAATGCTTTTATACGGGCAGTCCTGGATTTACGATCCCCATTGAACCCCAAAATGTCCATCGCCATGTGAGACAGGTAAGTGAGTTGGGCCCCATTTTGCGACCTTTCCCGCCGCAATGGCGATGAGTTGCTGCCCTTGTTCAGTTAGTAACCCGGTTGTAAAGTGAATCTGCTGATTCGGCTTGTCAGAAGGTTACAAAAGAATGGATTGCAGGATCCTGCAACCCCCAAGTGCCTGAATTTTGATCACGTGGCCATGGGGAACACGGCAACCATGCATAGTGTAAAAACCAGTCCTACGTCACTTCTTGTGGGCCCTTGCACCTTCAAAGGGTGACTAAATTAACGGTCGTAAGTCAAGAACCGCCTCTTAAGTACCTCATGGCGAAAATTTGGAAGTGTTAACCATTTGACAGTGTCAAAGTATATTCATGAACTGGAGTAGAGCATGGTAACAAGGTCAGCCAATGAATAGGCATAGCAACCAAGTCAGCCAATGAGGACTGTTTGCAAACTGCAACTAGAAGTAGCCTAGGAGTGGCTCTATATTAAGCTCTGCAGCTCTGAAGCTATGTTAAGCTCTGAGTCTGCCTGTTGAAGATGAAACTGCTTCTCTCCTCTGCTGTGTGTCTTGCTTGCCTGCTGAACTAAAGTGAAACTGATGTCTGTTTCTGAACTCCCGAGTTGCTGTCTGCTTCAGTTTGAGTTTGCTTCATGTTGGAGAACTCTACAACTGGTATTGTAAAGTTGACTTTATATGTTTATAAAGAAGTTAAACGAAGCCTCAGTCATCTGTGTTTACTTTTCTGGTGCTGAATTTGTCTGAACAGACAGTTAGGAAGTTTCTTTTTTTAAAATTCAGCTTCTACCACCCGGTGGCTTCAGACGGTAATCGAGAGATGTCATAATTCTACTGTTCTGACCCAGCTCCCCCTCCCCAAACACAACAAACCCTCTGCAGTTAAATCAATTAACTGGCAGCCCTGTCAAGAAGTCTTTCTCTCTCACCACAGGCTAACAAGTCTGTCCGGCAGGGGAGATGAATAGTTGTCTGCCACATTTATTCATCTCCGCCGCCTGCCTTTTATCCCCAGATCTAGGGTGGGGCTTCACTAGCAGCAGTGGCTGTTCCGTCCCAAGGACCGGCCCATAGATTTCCACTGCTCTCCTCTCCTCTGCCTTCTGCGCATCAGGCACTGAACATCAACTTGTAAAGCATTCCTGGCCTGCTTTCGAGTTGCCATAGGCAGGAGGAGGGGAAAACTGACGGAGCAGCACGTCAGCCACAATGAGAAGCACATTCCATGCATACCTTCTTCAAGGCTGTATCCGGGAAAGTGCTCCGTTGGAGAACATGATTTATGACATACCCTGGGGGGGGGAGGGGGGAGACAGGGTCATAGGTGGGCCGTAAATTATGTGAGACAGAGCTGATTTCATCTGGGCATGTGCTGACATGTTTCTCCTAATAAATAACTGGATTTCTTTTGCAACTTGGCTCGAGGTTCATAGTTTAATTAGGGCATCTGTCAGAATCCTGACACTGGACACAGCTGTTCCTCCTCTTCCTCATCAGCCCCAGCTGTTGACTCTCAATCTGAGGGCTGACGGATGGCCAGGCTCTGCCCCTCCCTCTCTCTCTCTCTCTCTCTCTCTCTCTCTCTCTCTCTCTCTGCCAGCTCCATTCTCTCTTCCCCCTCAGAGCTCTTAGGTTGCCTTGATGCTGACCCTGACTCACACGCCTCCTTCTCCTCCTCCTCCTCCTCTGATTTGGTTGCTGGAGGGGCGGTGGCCGACATCAACCTTGACAGTGTGCAGGCCCCAACTCAAGGGCCATGTCATGCCCCTGTTGGAGTCTGACTCCGAGGGAGAGGAGGAACAGCCGACAGGGAGTGGGAGTGTGGCTCTGGAGGTTGTGGAGGAAACTGGGGAAGGGCGGAGGCTGGCTGGGCAGTCAGAGGAAGACCCAGGCCCATTCCCTCTTCATCCTAGGGCATGCAGGGAGGAGCGGAGAAGGGATCAACGTGAATGGTGTCTACGGGGGAGGAAAGGGCCCTGATCCCCTTCATGGGCTGCAGCTGTGAGGACTGTTTATAAGGACAAACTGCGCATGGCCCAGTGCTGGAAGCAAAGCGTGAAATAATTCTAGTCTTTCAGTTCTTATCTGAGTTCTGGTATCCTTCCCAGTGTGTGTATTTTGATATCTGTCGATGTCTTCAAGCCCTTATCCTGCCTTGCCTCAGTGTGGTTTGTGTTGTTGTTGTTTTTTTCTATTTATAATTTATAGGTATTTTGAGTTTGAACGGAAGTTCTTCCTTTTCGCAACTGTTTGTGGGGGAGTTTTTCCTCCAGTCAATGATAATTGGGGCTTCGAAACCAAGCTGAAGGAATTAAAGGGACTTCACCTGTTTTGGTGACTCTGTTCGCTTTTGTATCCCACTCTGGGGTCATCACAGGCCATCCTCATCATTTCAACACCCCAAACCCTCTGTCCCAGGGACGGAGCGATATACCTATGCCTGGCATTGATTCGAGGCTTCAGGGTCACTTCACAGAGCCCGTTGCTGCAATCCTTCCCCACCAGGCTGTGAGGGTGGATACGATAAGGCCAGTCCTTCCAAACCAAGCAAGCTGTCACTTTCACTTCCGGGATCCCCTCAAAGTTCTGCAGCTGGAGAAACAACCAGGTTTCAGATGCTACACTCACACACACACACACACACACACACACACACACACAAAAGCTTAAGACTATCCCCGAACTACCCTCTCTGCAAAACCCATCACACTTGGAAATACGGCATCCAGGTTTGGTGGCCACAATGTAAAAAAGTGGTTGAGGCTCTGGGAAGAGTGCGGAGAAGAGCAACCCAAGAGGATTAGGGGACTGGAGGCTAAAACATGGTTGCTGGAATTGGGTATGTCTAGTTTCATTAAAAGAAGGACTGGGGGTGACATCATGGCAGTCTTCCAATATTTGAATGGTTGTCATAAAGAAGGAGGGGTCAAGCTATTCTCCAAAGCGCCTGAGGGCAGGACAAGAAGCAACGGATGGGAACTAATCAAGGAGAGAAGCAACCCGGAATTGAGGAGAAACTTCCTAATAGGGAGGACAATGAACCAGTGGAACAGCTT